ACTGGGACATGCCCCAGTAATCGCTGCGTGTAACACCCAAGAAGAGACACAGTGGCAGCTGGGATCAGGACACAGAGCTGGCTGCCAGTGCAGAATCCAACAGACAGCTAAACCACTCTCTCAACTTGAACTGTCCATCCCTTTGTCCCCCCAAAGCAGGTACTGCTATTCAACAAGTGCATGATTGTGGACATCTGTTCAGAAGATTGTTGGTGTTTCATGTGGATCAGAAAATAAGACATTACTGAAATTGAAAAGAAGTCAGCTACAATGCCAGGCAAACTCAGTCCCAGAGAGGCACCAGAGGTGGGTGCGTCCCTTTGAGACAGTGCCTTGCAGTCCTTCCAGAATTGCCCGGGGCTTTCTCCCCAGCTAAGCCCATCAGCAGAGTGCCGGTTACCCTGGCAGGAGAGGGGAAAAAGAAGAATATAGTTCTACGCAGAAATACTGTATCTAGATTTTGACATTTTATTTATCTCAGCCCTTAAGCTTATCTCGTTTCAATATAGTAAAACCACCAGCTCTCCCAAATCTCAAAGCTTAATCCACTGCAAGGTGGAGAAGCTTCTGAGGTAGAGTTAATTGTTCTGGGTCAGCTCATCCTTCTTCCCTCGCAGGTCGGCTCCCTGAGAGAACAACAGCACAACCCAAAACCCCATCAGCAACTTGCTCCAGGATTAAGGTGACAAGACCAGCTGGGAGTAAAAGCTCATTTATCTGGGACAGCCAGCATCTCACTCTGTCATCCAGGGCTTGTTGATGCAGCCAGGTCTGAAGCCCTAGGACGCCACAAGGTCAGCTGCCTCTTGGCCTCTCTCCTCTTCCAACCCACCCAAGGCACCAAGGGCATTTGCTACTTGCCCCCCATGACCGAGTCAGCTGGTCAAGGTCACGAAGAATAAGGGCTCAGTTGAAAACTGCATATATCTATTTGTAGGCAAAACACTGCTCAGAATGTCACAGTGCTTTGAAAACCAGACGCATACAAGATTAAAATTGCATCTGCTTATTTGCTTAGGCATAGAAAGATCGACCACAAGGCAGATGGGGCTCGAGAAGATGAAGAAGCAGTGAAATGATCCAAGTTTATTAACTAGCATTCCTGTAAGTGTGTGGGCTGTTATTTACTAATTGTGTGACACGGAATACACTGTAAAAATAAATTGAGAGCATGCAACAACACATGTCTAGTACTCAGCATCATGCCCAGTATATAGTGAGTATTCAGTAAAAGCTAGTTTTTATCACTGTTGTCAGTATCAACATTGTTACCAGCTTCATTGCCATTATCATTAAACCAGCAAGTGCTGGGTTTAAGGACTTAAGCCTCGTTGAGAAGAGAAAATACACATCTGAGCAAAGTAAAGCAGCAACACTTACATCTTTATTACAACTCTTCTGATTGCACAACAGTGTGTCTATTTACATTAGATTTATCTTATTCTGGGATCTAGCAGTTTGGGTGGCTGGTTAAGGACCTAATTCAGTACAATTACACAGGGAAGGTTATACGCCTCTTTCCCTTTAACTGTCTGTCCACAGACCTTTGCCCCACTAAACAATGAACACCTGGAAGACAGAGCCTCTATGCTGTCCATCTGTGTATGCACCTACCTCCCCTCCCCTGGACAAGAACAAGAAGAGGGATTAAAGGCATTAATTGATTCACCTATGTTGCATAAACGAAGGAGAAGTCGGATTATACGTTGACAACCAAGCAGTAGAGATGAAAACTGTAGCACTCACTGGCCTTTTCAAAAACAGAAACTGAGCATCATCTCTGTGCTACACCCTGCACCCATGGCTGTGGGTGCCTTGAGATTCTCTAAAAACTGGCCTGAGCCCCACCAAGCCCCAGGTCTGGGGCACGGGCAGGTGTTCTGAGAAGAAAGTACAAGCTGGTGTAGGAGCAAGTGAGTCATCACTTCAGTACCCCACTTTTTTTTAAACAAGGCCAAACTAGATGACTAGAACCGTGAGGAGCTCTCTTCCTGGTCCAGCTTTGGCCCACCCAGGCCTGTCCCACGTGGCCCCCATATGGACCCACCCAATGAGGTTCCTACAGGCCAAAGACGGGCATCGTGAGCTGACCACACATGCCAGCTCTACCAAAGCACTTGTGAAGCTTTCCAAATACTGCTCCTTCTCCTTCCCTTCTTTCTTTTTCTAAATTATCATTAAACCAGGCGTGTGTTCATCTACCAAAGTACTAAAATAATTATTTCTAACAGCATAGAATACCCACAGTAGTAATTTGTCACATACAATCAACACGCAACACATGACATATATGGCAAATGACTACTGTGTGTTAGGAAAGTAAACATGTGGGTATACTGTGTTTATATAGGCGTGTGTATATATATACATATATGTACACACACACTTAACATATATATTAAGGTTAAAAAGTCGGTCACTGTTGGCACACTGGACCAAGCTTAAGACCCTGGAGTTGCTCCCTCAGAAATGAGGCCTGATACCACCAAAATATGACGTCATTCTCATTGCAATAACCTCTTCCCTTAGGATCAGAAAAGTACGTTAAGTACATTCTTCCCAGACTGGAGCATGAGTAACAATGCCCATCAAAGGGAAAGAGGCACGTTGAACATGAGCTTCGGCCGTCTAGGACAAGCTGCACCTCATGTCCCTCCAGTGTGCTCTTTCCCGCAGCTCCGGTTGACAGTAATGCCTGCTAAAAGCCTGTCCCACTGAGACAGAACCACATACCTTTTAATTTTCTAATAGGCCGACTACACTTTATATGGCAGGTGCACCGCAGAATAAAAGCTGGCTTTTACTTTCATATATGTAAATACATTAGAGAAATTTATCAACAAAGCATAAGCTTATTCGGTCACTGAGATTCTGATAAGCAGGAACTGGATTTAAACAATACAGCAGATGTCAGGCCCTGAATACATTAAAGAACTCCACTGTTTGAAATGCTACAAAACTTGCCACACTTTGATTCGGTTACAAAATTTCCTTGTGATATAAACTCTGCATGGTTGACCTCCTGGCTGGGGGAGGAGTTCAGTAACCTAAATGCCTGACAACAAATGAAAGAACAAACTCTACCGTTTTCCTTGGTCTATTGGAGTCCTCCTAACGTATGAAGCAACTGATCTGGGGCTTCCTGTACATATAGTGTCAAGACCAGTGGAAAATAGGTACTAGGTAAGAATGGAATTTAATAAACAATCCCTTTGCAGACTTTGGCAGATTCCTTCCCGGTGTCTATTTGATCCAGGATGCTCCTCCTACACAACACCAGCATTCCCCAACCTGGGCAAGCCCTGCAATCAAATTGCTACTATGTAAGTCAACCTTCCCCTCCCAGTTACCACTGACTAGATTGGGGCAGAACCTAACACAAACCGGACGCCTGGAGTCTTTCTCCCTGAACTCTACTGCTGAGACTGAGGGCTGGTAGCCAGTCTTCCCAGTCATATGAACAGACGGACGGGTGGTTAGAGTGCCCATTGATCTTGAGCATCTAATAGCTTTTGTCTGCTCAAAGACCACACCCCCTTTCCTGTTAGGAGTATAACCACTCCCACCTCGTCACTGCGTGCGCATGCATGTGTGTGGGGGATGAACAATCAGAAGTGATATTCAACATGGTTCGCCATTGTTACGAGAGTGGCGGTGATGGATCAGAATAAGGTAAGAGAGGGGTACGACGACTATACAAATTAACTTAAGTCAGAGTTAAGTCAGGTGTCTGCTGTGTGCTACCTGACAGGGAAGTCGGATGACTGGAGATGCAGGCAGACCACAAGGAGGCTCAGGAACACAGCAGAATCCCTGCAAATTTAGTAGCTGCTCACCCATGTGTAGTAGCTACTACACATTAGTAGCTACTACACCCACTATGGTATGGGTATACCTAACCATTTACCCATACCACACAGGGAAAACAAACCACAAATATAGCTGGCAAAGGTTAGAGTTAGCCCCAACATTTTTTTCACTCTATTTCCCCATAATAGTCATTTTCCACAGAAACTACAAACTGATATAAGCTCAATCTCTAGAGACGGTTGGGGTTGCTCTTCCTTTTCCGGTGAGGACAGCCCACCACCACTCTCTCTGCAGTGGCTTTGCCTACTGTATCCTCCCTGCTCAGTACACGGGCTCCTGCTTTAACCTCTTGTCAGGCTCCCAAAGAAAACTCTTTCCTATACAAAGCCAAGAACCCTCTTGGCTCAGGGCTCTAGTCTCCCTTAGGGACCCCCTTAGGGGCTTGACACCAAGCCAGTGATCACTGAATATTATTTCTGGGGTTGTCTTCTTCATCTTCTCCCAGGTTTAGAGATTATCATGTGACCCAGGTCCAACCAATCAGAGGCTCTCCTGGGTTAGTCTCAAAAAAAAAAAAAAAAGGCAGCGATAATAGCTCCCTGGGTTCCTAAGGACTTTCTTTTGGGCTGGTATTCAAAAACATAGCCTACTCCTAAAGCATTCATATCATTCATTTGAGAAGTATTTATTGCACACTTCATAAGTACGAGGTGATACAGTGTGCATGCCAGAGACAAAGGTGTGCATATAAGAGTGTGTGCACACCTGCATGCTGCTTCCAGCTGCAGAATCACAGAAAGTAAGCTGAGACAGTGTGGCACCTGGAGCTCACTGGAGTTCTGCAGACCTAGCAGTTGTTTGGATCCCCTCTGTAAAGATGCCCTATTGTCTTGCTTCTGCTCCATTAAGCTCACAGATCAGTGAGAACTGTGGGAACCAGCACACATAACAACAGCCTAATGCACAGTTTAGCAAAAGATCTGACTGTGAACAACAAAGGAGACTGTGAAGAAGTAAGGATGTGGCCTAGAGATAGACCTTGGCCGTGGCTAAGGGGAACAGAGCCAACAGAGGAAGGAAGGGTACAAATAACCAGAAACCTTCTCACCTGGGAACAAAGTGGGTGGGGCAAAGCAATTGTGGGCAGGTTTAAATAACAGAGCAATCATTAGCTCCATTTATCTGCTTACCTCCAAAGTGAGCTCTCAGTGATGCTCCCCAGGTTATAGTCATAGAGCTTTGTCAAAATGAGAATCACCTGCAGGCAAAAGAAGAAATCATGGTTAGACTCAAACAATTACAATCTCATAGAAGTGAAATGGCCCGAGGGAGGGCTTAGGATCCCTTTAATGTGTGCTTAACGTAATTGAATGAATTGTTACTTCGTTCAGTTACACTGGGGGAGGGCTTGCCAGTGCCTTCCACTGCACTGATCAAGCCTGATCCCTTCCCAACCTCCTCCCTGACGCACCAACAGCAAAGGCAGCGTTGCCTGCCATTCCAGACATTTCTCACCCTGATGGGCCTAACACTTTCAGGGACGACTTGAAAAGCTGTCAACTATGTGTCCTGCAAGGTAGCCACTGAGCACGTGGTTTGGGGAGTCAATGACAGAGCCCTAGAAGCTACACCACACTGGGCATGTTACTGACCTTCTCTGAACCCCAATATGCTATGTCCCAGAAAGGGTGGCTGTGAGTAGTTAAATTAGGTAAAAAATGCAATTTATCTTGATTTAGCTTGGGGTTCCCTCCCTCCCTTCTCTTCTGCAGGCTTAGCTTTATCAGTTTCTTCTGATCTAAATTTGGGAAGAGCCACTGGATGGAAGAAGCCACAGGGGCTTGGCAACAGTGTTTAACAGGCTCAAATCTATGTTTTATGGGGTCCTGAAGTTTACGGAATTTGAGAGGCCCTCTACGATAAACAGAATATAAGATTATGATTTCAAAATAGGAGCAGATCCTGGGGAGGGACCTGTACAATTGAGGGGCGCTGGAATTTAAGCTTCATGAACATCAAAGCAAATCTTCCTCTTATGTAAACCTATTTCTCACTCAGAGAAGCCCAAACTATTCAGTTCATTCTTTCGGAATGCAACAAATACTTATTAAGCATTTATTATGAGCCCAGGATTTTGCCTAATGCCAGAGGAAAGTGCAAATACAGATGAGGCCTGGGAGTCTACGGTCCAGTTAGGACAGAAGGCACTCATCAAATAAAACTGAGCTGATAGAGAGCGGATCTAGCTCTCCTCAGTCCCACTGAAACTCATGCCCACCCTGGCAGCTTGAGAAGGCTGACACCTGCAGCAATGAGCAGGGCCCACCTGGCTACATGAAGTACTTGAGCATCCAGGCACTTGGGGAGACTGAACAGAGCAGTGTGTTCCGAACCCCTGATGTCCTCCCTCCTTACTTATGTTCTTCTTACATAAGCAAAAGAACTGGATGGGGCTGCTCCATTTTCTGTTGAGGTTCGTATTCCTCTCTTGATACTAATAACCTAGAACATTTGGCCCGTTACTGCTATGTCCAACTCAGCAGAAAAGTATTGACATTGATTTCCAGGATTCTGTCTGAAGGCCAAGAGATCAGTTCTAGTCACAGTGAGCACAGAACATTCTCATCTTGATTTCCAGGGCAGCAAGCTCCAAGGAATGCTGAATCCTTCCAAGTCCCACTCTGCTAGCAGTGGGCTTTGCGTTACTGATGGCACAAACATCGGTGAGCAGATTCTGAAGACTTCTTTCACAATAAGCACACTGGAACTCCATAACCTTACGTTAGTTCCAAGTTCAAGGCAACACAAAAGATCTGGGGATCTGTGTTCTAAGGCCACTCCTCTCTTAAATCACTGCACAGGCTTCCTTCAAGGATCTGTTCAAAACTTGCCTCCTTAGCAAAATGTGAGCATGTGTGAGGTGCTGGGCACCCCATGGGCACATCAGATGGCGTGCCTACGGTGGCGGCATATGCTCAACAGATCCGTGTGTCAATTAAGTTGCTCGAAGTGCTAAATTTCAATCACCCCCACTCCAGGAACGCTGATCAGCGGCAGCAGGGTGGCTGTTTGTTTGAAGACACAGAGGGAGGTGGCTGCTCCACCTCCCCAAACAGGCCTACAAATCCCCCACGGAGAAAATGGGAGTAGTGTGGGCATAAAGCATTCCTAGGTAGTTGCTCTCTTGGTACAATATGGCCATAAACTAAATAAAGAAGTTCAGCTGGTCACAGGCTGGGTCTCCCATCCATCTGATGAAGGAATTCAGAGGAACTGCAGAAAAGGAACCCTTAACCTAGCACGCAGTGGTGCAGGGCACCCCGTGCATGCGCACAGTGATTGGTAAGCCCTTCACAGCCAGGCGGGCAGCAAGGCGCCAATGACTCTTCTTGCTAAGCTAGGAAAATGAACACGCCAGTGGAACACTCAGGCACCCGTCAATACCACACCGGAAGAGGTGTCCTTTCTGGCATCTCAAAGCCTATCTGCTTGAGCCGATCTAATCCTTCTGTTTTCAGAATGATCACGGCAAGAAGGGAGAACTGCTAACTTTGAGTTATGGTCTCAATCAATTATGTGAAATCTCTCCCCCCCCTTCTCTCTTTAACGGTCCATGTGCATTGTTTAGTACAATAACTTACTCCCAGATTGTGACATGTCCTTATAGTCGATCTGCTTTGCTGTTGTTTGTTTGTTTTTCTGCCCTGGTCTTTCAGTAATGCTATTTAACAGAATCTGCACCTGTTAAAGTGGTCACAGTGAAAACCACCACCATTAGATAAGAAAAACAGGAGAATGCAATTACCGTCTATTCTGGTCCTATTGTCAACCATGTTTTGTGACTTTGCAAACTTAAAAAAAAAATCAGCCCTGGCTGTGTTGTTCAGTTGGTTGGAACATCGTCCAGTACATCAAAAGGTTGAAGGTTCGATCCCTAGTTCGAGTGCATCCAGAGGGCAGCCAATCGAGGCTTTTCTCTCACATCAGTGTTTCTCTCTTTCTCTCTCTCTCTCTCTCTCCCCCCACTCCTCCTTCTCTAAAAGCAATAAATATATTCTCAGTGGAGTAGTAAAAGAAATCAATGGAATGTTTTAACCAAGTGAAATGTTATATCCTTAAACAATATATAAATGACAATTTATTCTTATTCATTCAGCAAACAATGTTCACACACAGAGTTAATTCTATGAGTCCGAGTGCATATCATCTAATTACAAACCCATCAGTGAGAACCAGGCTGTTTGAGTGAACACACGCTCGCACAAAATAGAATCACCATCAGCATCTCCCTTCCCTGTGTCTTGTTTTCACTCTGTAGGACCACAACAGTCCTGATTCAAAACAGTACTCGGTGCATATGGTAATAGCTTTTGGGGGTCCATTTCTAAATCTGAGGACACTTTCTTTAAGTGGCTATAATCCAAATATCTACGGCTTGACAACTTCTACCTGCATTGTGCCAGACCCCAGTGCCCGGCGATTTCTAGGACTTTCCACAGTTACATATCCAAGTGATCCCCCAACCGTCCTCATATGCCGTGTGTGCTGTGCTTTCACTGTCACTCCTTCCTGCTACATCCATCGCTTACAGCACTTCTAGGGGAAACTTTACTTTGTCCGTACTTACAAAGAACACGCTCGCCCACCAAGCTGCTAGTCAAAGCTTGCATTACTTAAAGGGCAGGAGGGAGCCAGAGCAATGTGGGGTAAGGGCCTCTTCGAGGGTGTGACTCAAGGCATCCTCCCCAGCACTGAGTTCTGTTGCACCACCTTTGCTCACCAAACTATTATCCCTTTGCCTAAGGTCTTCCAAAGTTCCTTCTGAAAAATTCTTCCAACTCCAGCCTCTCACCCCTCACCTCTGCACATACGTGTTAATAAACTATCCCATGGAGAAGATGTGGCATCACATTTAATATACAACGAAATACTATTATTCAGCCATAAAAAAGAAGCAAATCCTGCCATTTGCAATAAGATAAGTAAAGCTGGATGGGGCATTTTATTAAGTGAAGTAAGTCATATAAAAACAAATACTGTAAGGCACCCCTTATATGTGAAATCTTAAAACAAACAAAAACAAAAAGATTTTGTAGAAACATAGCAGAATGGTGGTTGCTAGGAACTGGAGGAAGGATGAATGGGGAGTGTTGGCTAAGGGGTGCACACTGCATTTATACAAAGAATTAGTTCTAAGGATCTAATAATGCACAGCATGGCAACTACAGTTCATAATGCAATAGCGTGCACCTGAAAAATACCCAGAGTGACCTTAAGCATTTTCCATTAAAAAACCCCTCAAAACAAGCAACCAAAAACAACAGAGTGAATTAACCATGTGACGTGTTGTTGGATGTGTTCATTCATCTTGATCATGGGGATCGCTCCACCATGCACACATGTATCAAATCATCCCGTTGTACTCTTTAAATATGTACAGTTATAGTTGCCAATTGTCCCTTAATAAAGTTTTCAGAAAAAGGAAAATAAACCATCATAGAGCACTCTGGAGAGGAGGTGAAAATGCCAATCCACTCCTCCCCTTTTCTAACCCAAGCTTCTATCTGTGGTTGGTTACAAAACAAAAGCATTTATAAAGAAAAAGACATTCGTATGTAGAAGACCAATAAGAGTGCTCTAGCATAAAACAACAAAAGCCAGTGAAAAATGTTCTTTTGTATCGAACAGCAGGGCAAGCCTTATTTCCAGGGAATGTGCTAGAATGAATGAACAAGGCGGCAGATGAAGTCCAGGCCCCGGTGGGCTTCATTAGGCCAGGTATGTAGACGCGTGACACCTTTTAATGCAACAGTAGTAGTTTTTTAATTAATATAAAAATACGATTTGGAAGTAAAACCCATGCATTTAAAGAACCCCTAAAACACCTTCCTGGTAACCTGATTCTACACAGTATCCTTTTGAAAATATACATATTAATTACTAGACTGTAGGGAACCAAAATTTATTCCACATTTCAAAAATATCAGCATAGGAATACTCCATTTATTCTCTCAAGGAGAAAACATAGTGTCTTCACTCTCTCCATTGATAACTTAAACAATGCACATCTGAGGAGGGGGCATGTGGAAAGACGAGGGGGTAGTAAATGTATCTCTTATCTCCTCACCCTCCTGAAGGAATGTTCATATCTCTTTATGAATGCTCTCTTCTTTTCTTTTGAATCCTCACCCAAGGATATGTTTTTATTGATTTTTAGAGAGGAGATGGGGGGAGGGAGATAGACAGAGAGAGAGAGAG